CCATCTACTCCAAATTTTTCTCCTCTTGACGATCGAAGGGCAGATAGAATAACGAGTCTGATTGGGTCTTCATCTTTTTTATTGCTCTATAGAGATTGACAATTCAAATTCATGCTAGATATGTGCACCTATTGATTGAAGATATGCACCATAAAGCTGATGAACCAACACACCTTATGTATGGGAGGACATAAAGTTGTAAAAAAGGGATGAGGGACTAATTGTCAGGCTGTATGCGTGATGTGTATGGGTGGTATTAGGTTTAGAGAGGTGACAAGTGGCAAGTGATGATTGATGGGGAGCTGAATTCGGTTATAGTAAGAGAGTAGAAGAATAAAGAATGTGAGATCTTCTAGGATCATTGAAAATAGTAAAAAGAAAGGGGTTGGGGAGGTGCTGCCTCGGTCCAGCGGGTTTCTTTGTTCTTAGCAAATTTATCTTAAATGGTTTGGTTTATGTTTATTTCTTTATGCTGAATTGTAGTGTAGATGAACTGTTATTGGAGTATTTTGTTTACAGAGTTGCTATTATATATAAATTGAGGTTATTCAGATTGCTTGTGTTCTTTAGAGTTTTGAAGTGATTAATTGTTCTGTGGTGACTGGAATTTCTGGTTTTGACTATTGGTTTCGGAGTGTTGTGGTTGTTTTTTGTGAGTGATCTTTTGCAGGTGAAGTTTGGGTTTCTAACAAAAGCACACAAACTTGATAATGAAAAACTATGACAATTCCACATACTTAATATAATTGAAAAAAGAAAAAGAAGAAACATAACGAATGAGCTACTATATGAACAATAAACAAACACCATTGCAGTTTACTAATGATAATTTCTGAGTTAAGATCCATCTTAATCAGCATTTCCATGGGAAGGTGCCAGCTTCTTACAATGTTTCTTCAGTTTAAGTAACAACAATTGCATCCTATAAATCAATACTTCTCAAAAAATATAATGCAACTACCATACAAGTATGCAACTTTTCTTTTCACCAAACAAGAGAAAAAGAGGTCATCAATTGTGTCTTTGTTTAAGTAAAAGGGTCAGGATACGATTTATATGAGAGCTGCCTACCTTTAGTGCAGTTAGGTACTTGTCAAAGACTGAGAATTGAAGCCGACCACCAGTTGAAGATGTGAGAACCTCAAAAAGGTTTTCACAAATAATTACATTGGCAATGATGGAACTGCTGAGCTTCGGGAAGGCCTCCACCCCAACCGTAGCGTCCTCATCCACCTAAATAAAATGACCCATACCACCCCATCATTGCAAGTTAAAGAAAATGATCTCCTATAATTCCAACTCAATGATCATCATCTCATACACATAGGCACACAACTAGATAAAAGGTAGACAGACATACAGGGGTAACATATATCTTCAACCAATAAATATATCCTCTACCTTAAACAATTCCATCCTATCTACCATATGCAAGTTTCACTAGCGAGTAAAAACACAAGACTTACGACCTTCTTGGTATAGGACAGTCACAATACAGAGAAAGATAAAGATATAGGCATGCATCTTCTACCACATTATTTGGGAATATTTACACCTTTCTCTCCCCTCTCATGCTCTCTAACAAGTGTCCCACTACACATCTAAGAGATACAGATCAATCCACAGAACATGATTGATTCTATATTTATGCAAATTAACCTGCAAAAGCACTGCAAGATATAGTAAGCAAAGGGGTAATCCAAGCACCATGAAGTTTACCCTAGAAACAATAAGCCCAGTTTAATATAAATTATAGAAAATTTTTAATCAGGGAAATTACATGATTTGAAATCAGAGATTATTCCTTACTTCTACTGCAACTACATGGCAAGTATTAACTATTATGTTTCTATACCATGGTATTTATTTGTTCAACCAAAAAAGAGTGAAACTCAAATTTCCCAAGAAGAAATATCATGTGTGTGTATGTGAAGGGGGCGACAGAGAGGATTTTGCATTTCAGTGTGTTTCAAACAGAGAGAAAACACGATTAAACAATTACTGAAGAAAGTTCCTGAACTTAATTAGCAAGTATCTTAACAATAACCTTACATTGATAGGGTTGGCTTGAAGCTGCGTGACCTCCCAAGCTATCATCATTCATACATTAGCGTCTAAATTTTTTATCAGCCAAATGACCTTTTACTTGAGTAGAAAGTGCAATGCCCTGAAGCAACAGTATTCCAAGAAGTTCCTAGCATACCGGATGGATGCTTTATTAATCAGAAGCCTCTTTATTAAGCTTTCTTGAAGTTCACTTGAGGGAATGCCAAGTTTCTGCATCATTATTCGGTTTTTATAAGAACTAATTATCTATAAGCAATGGAGATAAATGAGTAGTGTCCAAAAAATGTTGGTTAAGTACTGGCACACTGGAATCCTATACTCGCAATAACTTCAAATCAAACAACAACAAGACATTGAGAGTGTGAACTTAAAAATAAAATAATTCACAACGGAAAGAGCGTAAACATTAAGCACCCTTACTTTGAGCATCGGCGAACAATTATATTAGCAACAGGCGAAGCTCCGCTATCCAATCCTCCCTCCAGATGGAGACCTCCCCATCTCTTCAAAGTCTTCATCGAATGAAGTCCGCTTGCTAATCAACCATTTGAATGACCCATCTCCTACTCACCCTCAAACATAGTTCTAGTTTTGCTTGACACAGCCATCACTAAAACTTCCCCTTTTAATAAACAACCTCAATGAAACCCACAACGCAACTTTCAATAGAGAGTTAGTGGATTCAGGTGCAAAATCTCACATTACCAACAAAAATGTAAATCTCAGCATCCCTTCCACAAAACCACAATACACAACTCACCAAACACCTTATTCTAAAACCCCAACAATCTAGTTCAACACACTATTCCTCTGACTTGCTTCAGGTTTAGTTTCCTGCCATGAAGTTCATTAATGTATGCCACTTCCAATCAAAACCATCACACAATTCAGCTAAACAGCTTATGCAATTAACCAAAGAGTCAATTTGATAACTAGAAACCGATCACAAAAAGTAATAACTCTCAAAACAGTTGAAAACTGATGGCAATCTTCACCAAACCTAATCTCAACTTCGACTAACCAAACTATTAAAAACTCACCTCAAAAAATGTAGAATCAAAACCCCTAAAATCCTAACAACCTCAGCTTTGAAGAGATTCCCATTTCACCAACCCTAACCGGTTTGCTTCATTGAACCATTTGCCACGAACCCATTTCGCCAAATTGCAACTCAAGATGACTTGCGGTGCCAAGCAAAGAATACCAAGTTATGGCCAAATAAACTTGTAAAAATCGACTCGACTTTATTGATTCTGGCGTGAACTGGGTTCCTTGAAAACTAAAAAAGAAGCGAGTTGGGTAAAGTCTCAAAGATTCGGCGCGTAGAGGCGCTGTAGTTGAGATACGTTTAAAGAACTTTGATTTATCCCGAACACATTTCTCTGTTTGGTGCTGTTGTGTTATGCGGGCGAGGATCAGAGGAGCTATAGTACAGAGTTAGTGACTCATGGGCAGTTTTTATTGGTTAGAAGGGACAAAAGTAAAAGACTTTGTTTCTGACTTTAGGTCCCTAACATCTAAGTTTTGGCGAATGAGTTACCACCAGAGATCTTGTGATCGATTCCAAATCAACTTCAAATTTTAATTCATGTGTGAAAATGAATCATTTTATTCAATAAAAATATATCAAATCACTGATGTTTAATGTGAACTTATATATAGAATATAACAAATCTAATTTTAACCACCATTATTGTGCCATAACAAAATTTTAGTCTTATATACTACTAATATATTAGTGATAGATATTAATGTATCTAAAATTGTTGAATATATCAACCTTTTCTTAACATTGGTTACAAAAAATATATTATAATTATGTTACATTATTAAGGTTTTTTTTTTTTTTTATAACAAAAGTCATACGTTTAAAATTCATTACAAATTTATGCTTTTAAATAATGTGTATTACTATGACATTAAAAATTGTATATTAAATATGACATGGGATAGTGACACATTTATATAGATATATATATATATACAAATTTTACATTTCTGTTTACAAATTTTATATTATAGGTTTTAAAAAATCACATTGATGTTTGTTACAAATTATATATTCTGGTCATTTTAAAAACTACATCCATTATTTTGTATTATATTTTATTACTAATATCAATTTTATTAAATACATTCAATAAATATATTTGTTGCACACCGAACTTGTAATAGAAGTTTCCAAAATGAGAGAGATCTTCCTTCCGCATAAAGCATTAATAATTGTTATATGACTCTCAAATATTATTTTTTGTCTTTTTTTATGTGGATGCGATAAGACTTGTCGTTTGGAGATTGGATTTTGGAATGAAATTTTTATTTTAATGATAATATTTTTGTGATGATTTTTTAGAGTTGAATGTAATTTCACTAATCATGAGGATTGAAAGTGAACGAAAAAAAAAATGTATCTGTCCGCTTTGTTTTTTTATATGAATTTAACTATAGTTAATCTATTGGAGGCTCTACTGCTGGCTGCTGCTTGTTCTGGTTGGTTATTGATTTTCTGGGCTAAGGTGGCTTGTTTTTGCATATGCTCTCCTGTTTCCTTTGGTTGCAGGCTGTTGTGTATAGGACTGTATATCCTAGCCTTTTGCGTTTGTTCGTCTTTTGTCTGTCGCAAGGGTTGAAGTGCTTGGGGTACGCCCCTTCAAAGATGTAATTCGTTATTCTTTATAAAATTACCTTTTACCTAAAAAACTATATATTTCGTCTATATACCAGTATATTTCTGGTACAAATACTCCGGAATTTTAAAGTGCAGATCAAAGACTAATAACGAATAGCTAACTTCACAAAATGCAAAATCAGAGTTCAACGACTGATCGCTCACATTGGGTCCGTACTCTTAAGAACTTCAAAACATCCACACTACAGACTGAATATATATATATATATATATAACAGCGAGCACATAATTAAGGAATTGATTGTATTATTGATGTGGGTTATTATGTTTCTTCTTTCATATTATTGTTGAAATTTACACTTCACAACTGAGACAGTGGTAACCAACAAAACATTACTTTACAAACATGTACTTGTACAAATGTACTTTCACTTCCTCTTCTTGTCTTCCTTATCTCTTTCCAGAATTACAGGTGCCGCCGGTATGCTGAACCACCATTCTTTCAATCTCCTCATCCATCTCTCCGTGCTTGCTTTCCTTGGAGGAGAATATCTAGTAAATGTCTCCAAAAATATCAGTGCAGCTATGTACTTACAGGGCACAAAGACCAGAATCAATGCTGTTACCAAAAGGGTAAGTGCAAATTTCTCACTTGCCTGGAACAAAAACATCCAATCAAATAAGCGTTGGCACATTACCAAAAAAGGAAAATGAATTGAACATAAAAAGGTATGATCTCTACCCTGACAAATAGTTTTGCAATGCTTGAAATAGAAATGAAGGATCAGTAAAGATGAAAAGTGCGAAACCTGAGGAAAAATCGAGAGCAGCAAGGCACGCAGCTTAAGAAGAAAGACATTGCTCTCCTGGATGAGCTGTTCAACTTGAGAAATTGCATTTTGAACAGCCAAGAGCTGCTCCATTGTGTTCATAGGTGGTGGTGCTATTACTTTAACTTCATCAACAGGCTTGCCTTGGTTAAAGAATCTTGTGAGTATCATAAAGATCGCGAAAAAGATGTGCATCAATGCCAAAGCATAACCCAGCCATCCCCTACAATGCAAATCAAATGAATTCTCAGAAAATCTACCTTCTGGTGATTTGCGCAAGAACTAAGGGCTCTTAAAAGTGAAAGATACATTTCACAGCACTCTTAAGTGTCATAACACCTCTCAACAATCAGAATCAACAGTTAGCTTCGACTTCCTTATGTTAACAATTTTTTTTCAGACCCTTTTGTCATTTTTTCTCTCTTTTTTGACAATTATTTAAAGCCAGTTTGCAATGGAAATTCTTGATTATATGATCACCTCATCTAACACTCGCTAACCTCCCAAAAGGTCTATGGTCATCATGTCAAAGAAATTTTCATCATCCAGATTGCAAAGACACTTGGGGCATGACATTAGTAAAGGGATGGGACAAGGTGGGGTATGCAGTAATAAAAAAGAACAAAAATAATGCCAATGCCCATAAAGTAATGCCAAATATAAGTTATTTAAATATGTGTTTTACCAGCAAATGATAAATGCAAAAACCAAACAGAAAACTGAAGACTTCCAAGGATCATCCCAATATGCCAGAGAAAGAAGCCACTGTCCAACTTCCATAACAGGAAGAAGTAATTCCTGCAAATACAGCAAAAGTCAGGCACTAAGAAGATACCATGAGGCAATAAGGTATACAAATTGGAGGTATGTTTACATAAAGAAAAAGGGAAGGTAGAGTCAGATTTATGTTGTGAACTAATAGAGATCTCTTTGCGATTATCACTGACTCGGTCTTCTTTGTGATTATCACTGACTTAGTCTTATTTATTTCAGTTGTCATTCAAAGTGTAAATATTCAAATATATTTGAATTAGTCCTAGGATATTGCCGATAACTTACCTCACTGCTGTATATTACGGAGCTTATCAATGAAGAAAATCATGCCATATAATTCCAACCTTCTTCTCGTTACTCATAATGTTAAATTAAAGCCTTGTTGATCCTTCAACTTGTACAGTCTGTTATTAACTATATTCATGCATCATAATCCACATGCATGCGCACACACAAGCAACTAGCAAGAGATAAAGATGTCATATATAGATCTTTTGGCCAGATAAATGACAGCAACCAAAATTCAATTCCAACTTTCCAAACAACTAATCATCTTAAAATAACAATCAGCAGAAAAGGGGATTTGAAGAAATAGGAAGAAAGGGAGAATTTATAATGAGTAAAATTTGCAAAGTTGAGATGCAAAACCACATACCTTCATGACTGCCAAATTTGTGTCAATGCCATTTACTTTAACTCCATCAACTGTTTCTTGTGCTTTCACAACTTTCATATAGCTGTTTTTAGACTCCTTAACAGCTCTTTCCAGTGAACTCATCTCTCCAACAGCTATCTCACCCACAACAAGCCCAGCCTCATTGGGATTACTTGAATTTGGTCCAAACACAAACCCTAAGTTAGAAATCATAGCCAACGCTGAGATTGAGTACATTTCACCTCCAGCTCTGGAACTGTTAGTCCGGTCTAATTCCCTTACAGATAACATGTTTGCAAGAGTTTCCAGAACCAAATCTCCACCTGGAAGCTGATCACATAGGTTAAACATGAGGAGATTCTCACAGCGTACAGAATTTGCAGTGCTAATTTCTTGAATGGCTTGTACTCTTAGAATTCCAAGTACAGCCTTTGAAAGTACTTCATCCCGCTCAACTCCTTTGATATGGAACTTATTTATAAATCTGTGAACATATAAAATTTCCCTGATAATTGCTAACCAGTAATCACGACGAGTATGCCCTTTAAGCTCAGGAAACTCTAAGACAATTGGTTCTGATCTACAGGAGAAACATAATTCAGAGTTAACTACTACAGAAGTTTAAGAGAAGCTTTCAGTTAGTAAAAATGGCATAACATATAAACATTTGAACAAGAAATTAACATGCAGCATGCCTTACAGGGAAGTTGATTTATAAAAGACTGCCTTGTCGAAAAGTCTAGTACCCCACGGACCCGTCAATTCAGGCTTAACAACCTGTTTTAGATCTTCAGATAAATCATATTTTTTTGCCTTCTCATACGATACAACACGGTGAGCTTCAAAATATAGTGCATGATCTGTCAGAGTCAATCGACCTACATAGATGTACAGATAAATGGAGGTAGGTCAACATAACTTATTTATGTATTTCTTCCTTAAAGCATGAATCAGAATGTACACACATAGAAACCAAAGAAATCCAATATTCTATCACAAAGGTTCAATTTTTCAAGAGGAAAAAGGAAAAAAGTTCATATAAACAAATATTATTCATCCAATGAACCAACCTGGCCATGTAGATATTCCCACGTGCTCTAGAACTGGCTGGGTGGTCACTGTCCCATCTACTTCCAGAATCTTTTCTCCTCTTGACGATCGAAGGGCAGATAGAATAGACGAGTCTGATTGGGTCTTCATCTTTTTTATTGCTCTATAGAGATTGACAATTCAAATATCATGGCTAGATATGTGCAGCTATTGATTGAAGATATGCTACCATAAAGCTGATGAGACCAACAACACATTAGTGTATGGGAGGAAATATAAAGGTGTAAAAAAGGGATGAGGGACTAATTGTCAGGCTGTATGCGTGAGTGTATGGGTGGTATTAGGTTTATGAGAGTGACAAGTGGCAAGTGATGATTGATGGGGAGCTGAATTCGGTTATAGTAAGAGAGTACGAAGAATAAAAGAGAATGTGAGGGATCTGTCTAGGATCATTCGAAAATAGTAAAAAAGGGAAAGGGGTTGGGGAGGTGCTGGCCCTCGAAGTCCAGCGGGTTTCTTTGTTCTTAGCAAATTTATCTTAAATGGTTTGGTTTATGTTTATCTTCTGTTATGCTGAATTGTAGTCGTAGATGAACTGTTATTGGAGTAGTGTTGTTACAAAGTTGCTATTCTATATATAAATTGAGGTTATTTAGTATTGCTTGTGTTCTTTAATTGTTTTGAAGTGATTAAATTGTTCTGGTGTGACTGGAATTTCTGGGTTATTGACTATTGGAGTTTCGGAGTGGTTTGGGTTGTTGTTTGTGAGTGATCTTTTGCAGGTGAAGTTTGGGGTTTCTAACAAAAGCACACAAACTTGATAATGAAAAAACTATGACAATTCCACATACTTAATATAATTGAAAAAAGAAAAAGAAGAAACATTAACATAGAATGGAGCTACTATATGAAACAACTAAACAAACACCATTGCAGTTTACTAATGATAATTTCTTGACGTTAAGATCCATCTTAATCAGCATTTCTCATGGGAAGGTTGCCACGCTTCTTACAATGTTTCTTCAGTATTAAGTAACAACAATTGCATGCTATAAATCAATACTAATCTCAAAAAATATAATGCAAAACTACCATACAAGTATGCAACTTTTCTTTTCACCAAAGCAAAGAGAAAAAGAGGTCATCAATTTGTGTCTTTGTTTTAAGTAAGAAGGGATCAGGATACAGATTTATATGGAGAGCTGCCTACCTTTCTAGTGCAGTTAGGTACTTGTCAAAGACTGAGAATTGAAGCCGACCACCAGTTGAAGATGTGAGAACCTCAAAAAGGTTTTCACAAATAATTACATTGGCAATGATTGGAACTGCTGGAGCTATTCGGGAGAAGGCCTCCACCCCAACCGTAGCGTCCTCATCCACCTAAATAAACATGAGGCCCATATACACCCGCATCAATTGCAAGTTAAAAGAAAATGATCTCCTGATAATTCCAACTCAATGATCATACATTCATACACATAGGCACACAACTAGATAAAAAGTAGACAGACATACAGGGGTAACATATATCTTCAACCAATAAAATATATCCTCTACCTTAAACAATTCCATCATATCTACATAAAAGAAAGATAAGGACCGTAAAAGCCCATATAGCAAGTTTCACTAGCGAGTAAAAACACTAAGACTTACAGACCTTCTTGGTATATGGACAGTCACCAATACAGAGAAAGATAAAGATATAGGCATGCATCTTCTACCACATTATTTGGGAAATATTTTACACCTTTCTCTACCCTCTCATGCTCTCTTAACAAAGTGTCCCACTACACATCTAAGAGATACAAGATCAATCCACAGAACATGATTGATTCTTATATTTATGCAAATTAACCTGCAAAAGCAAACTGCAAGATATAGTAAGCAAAGGGGTAATCTACAAGCAACATGAAGTTTACCCTAGATGAACAATAAGCCCAGTTTAATATAAATATATAGAAAAATTTTAATCAGGGAAATTACAATGATTTGAAATCAGAGATTATTGCCTTCACTTCTACTGCAACTACATGGCAAGTATTAACAATATTATGTTTCTATACCATGGTATTTATATGTTCAACCAACAAACAGAGAGTGAAACTCAAATTTCCCAAGAGAAGAAGATATCAGTGTGTGTGTATTGAAAGGGGGCGACAGAGAGGATTTTGCATTTCAGTGTGTTTCAAACAGAGAGAAAGACACGAATTAAACAATTACTGAAGAAAGTTCCTGAACTTAATTAGCAAGTATCTTAACAAATAAAACTTACATTGAGTAAAGGTTGGCTTGAAGCTGCTGGGACCTCCCAAGCTATCATCATATCATACATTAGGCGTCTAAATTTTTTATCAGCCAAATGACCTGTTACTTGAGTAGAAAGTGCAAGTGCCCTGAAGCAACAGTATTCCAAGAAGTTCCTAGCATACCGTGATGGATGCTTTATTGAATCAGAAGCCTCTTTATTAAAGCTTTCTTGAAGTTCACTTGAGGGAATGCCAAGTATTCTGCATCATTATTCTGGTTTTTATAAGAACGATTATATCTATAAGCAAATGGAGATAAATGAGTAGTGTCCAAGAAAATGTTGGTTAAGTTACTGGCACACTGGAATCCTATCACTCGCAATAACTTCAAATCAAACAACAACAAGACATTGAGAGTGTGAACTTAAAAATAAAATAATTCACAACGGAAAGAGCGTAAACATTAAGCAGCCCACTTACTTTGAGCATCGGCGAACAATTATATTAGCAACAGGCGAGAGCTCCGCTATCCAATTCCTCCCTCCAGATGGAGACCTCCCCATCTCTTCAAAGTCTTCATCAAATGAAGTCCGCTTGCTAATCAACCATTTGAATGACCCATCTCCTACTAGACCCTCAAACATAGTTCTAGTTTTGCTTGACACAGCCATCACTAAAACTTCCCCTTTTATAAAACAACCTCAATGAAACCCACAACGCAACTTTCAATAGGAGTTAGTGGATTCAGGTGCAAAATCTCACATTACCAACAAAAATGTAAATCTCAGCATCCCTTCCACAAAACCACAATACACAACTCACCAAACACCTTATTATCTAAAACCCCAACAATCTAGTTCACCACTATTCCTCTGACTTGCTTCAGGTTTATGTTCCTGCCAATGAAGTTCATTAAATGTATGCCACTTCCAATCAAAACCATCACACAATTCAGCTAAACAGCTTATGCAATTAAACCAAAGAGTCAAATTTGATAACTAGAAACCGATCACAAATAAGTGAATAACTCGTCAAAACAGTTGAAAACTGAAGTGGCAATCTTCACCAAAAACCTAATCTCAACAACTTCGACTAACCAAACTATTAAAAACTCACCTCAAAAAATGTAGAATCAAAACCCCTAAAATCCTAACAACCTCAGCTTTGAAGAGATTCCCAATACTTCACGAACCCTAACCGGGTTTGCTTCATTGAACCATTTGCCACGAACCCATTTCGCCAAATTGCAAAACTCAAAAGATGACTTGCGGTGCCAAAGCAAAGAATACCAAGTTTGAGGCCAAATAAACTTGTACAAAATCGACTCGACTTTATTGATTCTGGCGTGAACTGGGGTTCCTTGAAAACTAAAAAAGAAGCGAGTTGGGTAAAGTCTCAAAGATTCGGCGCGTAGAGGCGCTGTAGATTGAGATACGTTTAAAGAACTTTGATTTATCACGAACAAGCTTTCTCTGTTTGGTGCTGTTGTGTTTATGCGGGCGAGGATCAGAGGAGCTATAGTACAGAGTTAGTGACTCATGGGCAGTTTTTATTGGTTAGAAGGGACAAAAGTAAAAGACTTTGGTTTCTGACTTTGGGTCACCTAACATCTAAGTTTTGGCGAATGAGTTACCACCAGAGATCTTGGTGGATCGATTCCAAATCAACTTCAAATTTTAATTCATGTGTGAAACATGAATCATTTTAATTCAATCAAATAATATAATCAAATCACTGATGTTTAATGTGAAACTTATAATATAAGAATATAACAAATCTAATTTTAACCACTCTGATTTGTGTCATGTACAAAATTTTTAGCCTCCAGGATGGATACTTAGCTCATTAGATGTATAGGGTATTTAATGTATCTCAAAAATTAGTTGAAGTATACACAAACTACTTTAAACATTCTGGTTAACAAAAAAATATATATATAATTATGGTTACAATGTTATATGGTTTTTTTTTTTTTTTAATAAACTAAAGTCATACGTTTAAAATTTCATTACAAATTTATGCTTTTAAATAATGTGTATTACTATGTGACATTAAAAATTGATATATTAAATATGACATGGGATAGTGACACATTTTTGCTATATATATATATATATATTACAAATTTTACATTTCTGTTTTACAAATTTTATATTATAGGTTTATAAAAATCACATTGATGTCTTGTTACAAATTATATATTCTAGGTCATTTTAAAAACTACATATCCATTATTTTGTATATTATTATTTATTACTAATATTCAATTTTATTAAATACATTCAATAAATATAATTTGTTGCACACCGAACTTGTAATAGAAGTTTGCCAAAATGAGAGAGATCTTCCTTATCCGCAATTCCGCATAAAGCATTAATAATTGTTATATGTGACTTCAATAATTATTATTTTTTGTCTTTTTTTATGTGGATGGATAAGACTTGTCGTTCGGAGAATTGGAGTTTTGTTAATTAAATTTAATCTTAGTTAGAAGAAATTTAATTAATTTTTGGGATACGAAGTTTAATATATTACTACAGCTAAGAATCTGGGAATCTAATAAATTACAAGGACAACTTTTAGTTATTTGGAGTAGTATTTTTGAAATATTATTGTTAAGTAGAGTTTAATGGTTATTACGAAGTAAAATTAAAAAATTATGCATTTTAATTTGGAATATGAATAAGATAGAGAAACAAACGTGTTTTAAAGTTATTTAGAGTAGTATTTTAGAAATATTATTATTAGATAGAGCTGAATGATTATTACGAGATATGATTTGAAAATTAAAAATATTTGAATAATGTAAGATAAGATTTTGGGAATAGAGAAATAAATATGCATTTTGATTTGGAATACAAATAGGATAGGGAAACAAACGCACTCCGATTTTTAAATAAAACAAATATAACTTTTATAACTGTTAATTGCAATTTCTCTACGAGATATTACTAAATAATATATCACGTTCAAGTATTTGCAATGACAAAATTTCCATCATCTTATTAATACATTTACACTTGATTCGTCATACACCAAAATCCTAACACACAGTGTAATTTGTTATTTCAAATATATTGGAGGAAATATTATTCGATAATACTTATGGGGAAAATTACAATGAACTCTTTTCGTGATAAGCTCTTTGTTAGGGCCAAAAAATGTTCTTGATCTCAATAGACCTAAAGACAAAGACACCTTCAACAGAGCTCAGAGCTACAACCCAATTTCGATTGGGCCCACAATAGAATTCATGTATTGGGTCTACTCACTACACTTGCCAAATCGCTCACTAATTGAGCTCCCTCAATAAAGCCCCGATCCGCTTAGGCCTCATCATTAGTTCATCTAGGCCTAGGCCCATTGATCCAAAATCGCCTACTGGACCTAGGGTTTACTTAAACTCCAAGGTTGCCTACTTCCTATTTCGGTACTATCCGGATTCCTTCAAAGAGATCTACCACCATACTAATTCGTCTAAGATCCAAATCTTAGATTGAACAGGACTCTCTCTCCTACTAAGGCAATAGAATCAAATGATTTCCTATTCACTAAACCACAACCACCAAGGACTCATAGTCCTACTAGTATTCGAAGATCCTATAATTGTTATATAAACAAAGGTCAGCCTTCTCACAAGGCATTCAGCATTACACCTTGTAACCTTATAGTTTTCACTCTTGAGAGCTTTACATTACTGCCGTAGTTACAGTCTACTTCTAGTAACTTTCTCTTTCCCTCACCCTCACTAAATTAGCCTCATCCAACCTTACTGACTTGAGTGTTGAAGTACCTATGACAAACACCACCCTAGTGTTTTCCATTCATTTTACGCTTGTTTCCTTATGTATGTAGGTACAATGGATTGCTAGTTGCCTCAATCTCACGGAATCATACCTCCCATTCCATAACCGTAGATTTTACCGTCTACATTCTTGGAAGAAAAAAAAGTCATTACTAATAGTATTTGAAGAAATATAATTTTTGCTTCAAGAAATATCATTTAAATTTGTTTTTTCTAAATAAATAAATTTTCAAATAATATTATCGAACTAAACCCACAGTTATAAGTAAAGGGTTTGCAGATGGGTTCAAGCCCGACCCACCAAGTCAACAAGAGGCCCAATCCTCATCAAAATCGGAAGGCCTGACATACCATTTCTCTGAGGCTCTTTATTAGCTAGAAGACATTTTTATCAAAAACTTACAGTTATAAAACTATTAACTTTAACTAAATTTTTTTAATTGATTAAAATATCCACATGTGAGTGATTTTATTGTAGTAAAATTTTTTTAAAAAAGCAAAAACAAAACAATATATACATCACTGAAATTTTTTAAATAATTAATATATATATATAATTATACAATTAAAAAAATAAAGTAATATATATTAAAAAATTAAAACTAAAATATAAACTATAGTTTCAAATTTTTTTCCTTAGTTTTCCATTTTTTCTATTGATATGTTCCCATTTATTTTTATTTTGACACGGGTCATTTTCTTATTGATATGTTTTTTTTTTCAAATTACTGTAGTTTAAAAAAAACTTATTTTATATGAAACTATATTACACATAAAATTACCTTAATATCCTTAATACAATTAAATTTAAGGTTTTTAAATCGTTAAATGTCCTCTCACTGTCTAACATAAGTGTATTATAATTATAAATTTTTTAATAAAAATGTCATCTGGTTAATAACTCTATCTAAAAATAAATAAATCATCAAATCTTCCGTCTCATACAATATTTTCATTATTTATATATATGTGTCTGCGCGCGTGTGAGAGAGAGAGAGGCATAAAAAAATTCAAAGGCAAACTTTTTAATTCATTGATTTGAGGTGTGGCCGAAATAGTGAAATTTGACATAATTATAGTGTTAAATTTAGAAAGTTAACTTATGGTTTATTTTTAGAAAATAATTTTCAAAAAAATAAGAAAGATTCTTAAAATTTATATTACATTGTCAACACGTTTGACATAATATCACTTTTTTTTTTTTTTTTTTAAATGAAAGATTATGAAAAACAAATAAAATAAGTTCTTTCATTTTTCCAAGTTTATACTAATTTTTAGGGGCCTTTGATTGGTGGTTATTGGAGATTACTGGGGTTAAGTAATCTTATATTATTTTATTACCATGTTTGGTTGTCAAGTAATATAAGATACCGATAATATTCAAATACCAATAGTGGTTACTATTGGTAATATTAGAGATGATCTGATTACCTTTATTTTCTTAGGTATTCTAAGATTATCATGGTTATCTTTTTTTGTTACAATTCTATCCCTTATTAATAAAATTTTAGGACAATAATACCCTTATTTTTAAATTTATTTACATGAATATCGCTTTTACTATTTCACCCACATTAATTAACTTTTTAGACAAAATTACCTTTGAATTTAAAACAAATTGCAGGCCACCCAAGCCACCACCCCCACCCACTTGCTGCCGCAGCCGAAACAGCGCACAGAAGGCCAAAAATGGCCGTCATGCGCCAATATGACCATTTTCGGCTAGACGGAATGGCCAGATCGTGCAAGATTTGGCCGTTGACGGCCAGACATGATAGATCTGGCTGTCAACAACTAGATCGATGGTCATTATGACTGCCAGATCAATGGATTTGGTCGTTAAACGATCTAGCCGTTGATAGCCAGATCCGTCACGTCTGATCTGGCCGGATATGGCCATATGGCGCACGGAAGGTCATTTCCTGCCTTCTGTGCGCCGTTAGGTTGCCAACTACCGGCGGCCTGCGGTGGTTGCTGGTGGCTGATAGTGGCTAGGTTGGTGGGGGTGGGGGTGTCAGCCGAGCCACTGAACATGATAAAAAGCTCAAGCTCGGGTCTGGTCATCATGCGAGCAGAGTTCGAACAGCCCATGCTTGGCTCGCCAAACTCGAATATAGCTTCAGTCGGCTCGGGTATATATGATATTTTTACAATTATTAGGGGGTATAAGAATTTTCTAGTTTTAAAAAATAACAAACACACCCCCACAAAATCAAAATAAGTCAAAATCAATTTGGGGATTTATTGATTTAGAACCAAAAAAAAAAAAAAAATCCTAAAAACTAAAAGCTCTGGTGATCTGCCCTGCCCTTGACCCTTGGTCGTCAACGTCGCCAGTCTCGTGAGTCTTCGTTTGCCTTAAAAATTCGCCATCTCTGATTCTCTTCTCTACTTCGTCTCAAATCTCAGGTATGCATCGTGATGTTGGAGGAGGTATACAAATTCTGGGTTGGGTTCTACATGTGGGGGTGGTGGAGGAGATAAAGAGATGAAAATGATGGGTTTTGTAGTGGGTTTCAGTTTATATTATTTTTCTACATGTGGAGGTGGTGGAGGAGACAAAGAGATGAAGATGAGATGGGTTTTGCAGTGGTTTCATTTTTTATTATTTTTCTTCTATTTTGAATTTGAGATGAATGTGGAGGAGGATTCAGAATGAAGGGTTGGCGACAGTGAAAGTGATCTCTGTTT